GGTTGCTGGACGTTCCAGAACCTGCCAAAAAAAAAAAAGAACTCGGCCCTTGCCTTGGCATGCTGGAGAAGTGCCCAAGCGAGGTCTCCGGTCACGACGCCTGCCTTCGAAGGGTGGCTTGGGGGACCTTTATGTATTATATACTGTATATCATATATTGTATATTGTATATTAATTATAATATATATATATATGCGCTTAGTTTCAACACCTGGAGCCCTGCAAGACTGGCAGGGCCTTCATGCCCGGAATGTCCCAGAACCTCGGAAGACACTGTTAGGGTTTAGGGTTTAGGGAACACGATCTTCCGGAGCAGCAGACTGCGGAATGTCTCCATTGCAGCTTTTCCTACAACTCGTCGCAGAGTCGCCGTGCAGCAACCAACCCTGACGCACAGGCCCACACGTCTCCCTATCCGAGAGTCCCCGTTCCCAAAAATAGTACGGCACCCTTAAAAAGGACCCTAGAAGGGGGCCCGAATTAGAGAACTACCCATGTAGCACAAGGATGTCCGAAGTGTGCAGCACAGCCCAAAGCTGAGTCCCGGAAGAGCATCGGCTGAGCGCTTGAAGGTTGCTCGTCTGCTTATTGCAGCCAAGCCACGACATGACTGCGGAGAGGTTTGAAAAGGACGCCAAGCAGTGTCAGCAGCAAAAGCTTTGAGCCAGCTCAGGGGCAACACGATTCAATTTTGTTCACAAAAAGCAGTCTGCTACAGCGCACCACGACAGACCACGAAGCATCGAAAGCAAATTCGGAACCTCTTGACGCTCGCGCTCCTTGCAAGGAGTGGTCATTCCGTGCCGACCAACTGCGAACAGCTTCTGCCTTCTCTTCCAGCAAAGCACGAAGCTCCGCCAACTCAGTATCCACGTTGCCCTGGCGGTTTAGGATATAGGGCTTGGCCAAGCTATCATCATTATGAACATAATAATCATTCTTATCATTATTGTCAATATCTTCATTGTTATCGCCATGATCAATACTAGCACTACTATCTCTTTTATAATGAGTATCATTATGACCGACACCAGTACTGTTCTCGCCACCACTACTATTTACTACGTTTTTTATGAGTATGATTCATATCATCATTATCTTTATTATTGCTATGACTATTTGCATTTTATAATTATTCTGATTACTGTTATCACTGGTACTGTTGATGTTATTGTTAACATCGCTGTTGTTGCTGTTATTCTTGCTCTTATTCTTACGATTATTACTGGATATTCTCATCATTATCATTAGTTATCATGATTTTTGTTATTCTTGTGAATAGTTGTCATGTCGTATTCCTATGTGTTAGTGTTATTATAACTCGTATTATTGTGATTATCATGTCTTATTCCTATTTGTTAGTGTTATTATAACTCATAACGATTATTATTGTTTGCTTCATGCACGGTTGGGGCTGTTGCTGCTTGCTGTTGTTATTGTCCTGGCCCAGACTGGGCGCGGCCTTGGCTCGCATGAGCGCCCGGAGTTCGGAAGCCTCCTGTCACACAGCGGTGATGGCAATGGTCTGGGCGGGCTCCGGGCAAAATAGTCATGCTCATCATAACACATTGCTCACCATCATCATAGTAGTTTAAACTGATACTTTTAACAGTAGTGACAATGACCATTATTTTATAGGAATGGTAAGAATAAGAACAAATCACAAGAACAAAGACAAGAGCAATAGCAATAGTAATCGTGATAGTGTGACGTAGAAGAACAACAACAGCTTTAGTAGTAGTAAAAACAACATTTTTCATAACAAGAATAACCGCAAAAGTAATCACCCTCATCATCCTCATCATCATCATCATCAACGTAATAATAACAATAATAATAACAATAGCAATAATGAGTTGTAGTCATGGCTAGTGTAACCATAGGAAGATCATCGTAATAGCTACAATAATATTAACAACAGCAATATAACCATAGGAAGATCATCGTAATAGCTACAATAATATTAACAACAGCAATAATGAATTGTAGTCATGGCTAGAGTAGAGGAAGAGAGCTGCCATCCAGTAATCCAAGGTACGCTCTTCCACTTCTTCATCGACTCGAGGTCTCCAATGGCTTCGAAAGCTGCAAGCCTCGGTCAAAGCCACGTAGGTTCCAGGGGTTTAGGGCTTTAGGGGTTTAGGCTTTAGGGATTTAGGGATTTAGGGTTTAGGGATTTAGGGTTCAGGGTTTAGGGATTTAGGGATTTAGGGGTTTAGGGTTTAGGGGTTTCATTGATTGAACAACTGAGGCGAGGAAGACAAGGCCTTTTCGGCATTTTGCAGCTGTGCCCCCTGCCGATCGCGCATCTGCTTGGCCTCCTCTCGTGCTCTAGCCTCATGCACTCATCCCACCAAAGACAACGACTGCCCAGATGTATCGCTAGTCTCAATAAGATGGGCCCATGGCGAGTTCCTCGTCCCTGCGACGGAGCTTCTCCTCGGCCTGCTCACAAACATCAACTAGCGGATCCAACGCGATTTGCTTCAGAAGTTGGGAACGTTCGGGTGTGCCTCATCCAGCCTGGACGCTTTTGCGCGAAGGTCGAGAAGCTCCTACTATATCACGGGCTGCATAGCTGCTGAACATCACGGCTTTCCCTCAACTCCATGCGCCAATGGCTGGCTCTCGCTCCTTCTCTCCAGAGGTGTGGCCTGCGAGAAAATCTCGCATGGCCTGGAATCCAAGCCGGCATGTGCTTTGATTTGTCCAGGCACCAACGAGCTGAGCTGCGGCGGCGCTGTCCAGAAGATACTCTAATCCCAGGTCCTTGAAGGCCTCATATGCAGCAAGACGCTGTGCTCGGCTTGCCAAGGCTTTACTGAGCGAAGCACCTCACGGAGCTTGGCGTAGTTCCTCAAAAAGCCTTTGAGGTTGTATGGATCCTCCAAGGAGTCGCACTGCTGGTGCAGTAGGGTTTACATGATACAATTCGATGGACACGATTGTCGAACAGACTTTCGACGTAAATTCACACGGTATGACTTTCATATTTCCATTGCAAAGCCACTGGCTTTTGCGACTACGCGACGTCGAGTTCACGATTCAAGCATATGAGTCAGCGATCTCATAAGTGGAGTTACAGTAATGATTCTTTGTCACCTCGACGGCTCTCAGCCAACGTTCCCCGATTCCATTTCGCTCAGCTCGTTACATCTTCTGAAACCGGCGTCTCGTCCGACATCATCCTATGTCAATCTGATTTCCTCCCATCTTGTCAAGTTGATACCCGCAGAAATGAACAACAGCATGACATGAAGCATCGGGCACCTCGAACAGCTCCGAGAAACCATATTCTTCAAAAGCTTTGCGCAGTCCCTGCAGGTCGCGTTTGCTCTGCGCTCAACCCCCCATGCCCTGCCGGACCAGGAAAAATCTATGAGCCAGCCTCGTACCTGGACAGGATCTCTTCCAGCAACGCGGGGTCCTTGCCAAGTATCGTCCGGCTGTACAGACTCATGCCCTCGCCCCTCTCCAGGACTCAGTCCTTGAAGGCATCGCCAAGCCCATACTTTTCGAAGAGGTCACGGACCCTCGGCACCACAATCTACGGACAGCAGACCTCCTGCATGGCCCCAAAAAGGGCTCCGACCGTCTGAGCAAATCCAGACTCTGCTTCAGCTCCTCAAACAACGCAAGGCAGCCAGGCATCCTTTGCCTTCGGCCATGTGAGGAACTGTATTACAACTCTTGGCAGAGTCCTACTACCATTGGGGTTAACGTCTGACTACTACTGCCGTTCGAATCTTAGTGGCTGAGTACCCTAGCCCAAAAAAAGTTAACCTTTCAATTATGGTAGGACTATATAAGCCCAAAAAGGTTAAAGGTTACCTACTCAGCTACTGAGGAATGTAACGCCAAGGCATACATCGTGGGGCATGACATTCCTCCAGCTTCGACGGGTCGCCAAAGACATCCCCGAAGCCAGCAGCCTGCACGCGCCGAAGGGCGACCGCTGCCACTTACACTGATTGGGCTTGGGAGTTCGGGGTTTTAGGTTGAGCCTTCCAAGGATGTTCGGTGGGGGCTTTGTGGACATTTAGGGTTTAGGGGGGAGGGTCAAGGCTTGGAGCCTCAAGCATCTCTTTGAGCTGCTTGGCCGACTGCAAGAAGCTCTTGAGCTCCTTCTTCGCTCTCGGACGCGCTCTCGGAGACAGACTCAGACGGTTTAGGGTTTAGGATGTCCTCCGGGTTCTTCAAGAGGTGCTCCAAGCCCAAGTCTGCGAAGGCCTGCGACCAGTTTTGAAGGCCGAGGGAGGGGCCGTGGCGCAGGACAGCAGGAGCAGTGCCTCAAGGACCTGTCGAAGCGCCTCTGCAGAGAGACGGAGCACGGAGGCGTCGCCACACGCATGACTCGAAAGCATCGCCACCTCCGGATTGTCGAGGAAGTGTTCCAGGCCCAGGTCTTTGAAGATCTGCATCGCCAAGAGCAGCTCGAGGTCTAAATGCTTCCAACATGCTGCCTGCTTGTCCCTGTGCGCATCCCCTGCTGGCGCCTTTTCGAGAGACCGGGCCCGCTGGAGAAATCTGGCCAGTGCCTGGCACAGCACAGGACAGCACAGGCTGAACCGGAGGGCGCTGGCCAGCAGAGGCTCCCAAAAGGACCTGCCTCGGGGTCCTCCATGAGCTTGCCTGACCCCCAAAATCCCATGAAGTCCCGAGGCCAGGGAGAGTAAGGCCGCAGCCTAGGCCCATTTCCTCAAACAGCTGCCGGATGCCATCCAACTCGTCCTGCGAGGGGCAATTTTCATCAGATCGCGCAGAGAAGCTTCATAATATAGATGCATGTCAGGCGAAGTCGAGACAAGGCATCACGATCGTCATGAAAAGCTTTCAACAGCAACTTAACCCGGGAATAATGGGCTGGCGGCCAGCACCCTTGTGTACCGGCACTGCGTGTCACGCGATTTTTGCAAAAATTATAGATGCAACAAGTGGGGTTCGCGTCAAATTGATGAAATCTCTTCAGGCAGGCCCCGCCAGGCACGCAGGGTCTCCTAGAACCCTCCAGTGGCATCGCGAAGCGCAAACTGGCTTGGGGACCGAGCACGGTTTAAGTCCATCGCACGTCAGACCACCATTTCAAGTTCACGTTTTCAATTCGCCGCTTGGAGATTCGACATAAAGGCGGCCAGCCTTCAAGAAAGCAAGAAAATCAGCTGGCCTGCCCGGATGCCGCCCTGCATCACTCAATCGCAAGCTCTAGTCGATGCCCCAAATACTCGACCCTACAAAACCCCAAGCCTCCAAACTTTCTTTAAACCCTGAACCCGTCCTCAAGATGTTTGCATCTCGCCTCCAGCTCCTCCTCTTGAGCCTTGGACTTGGCAAGGTCCGTGGCCAGGGCCTGGATGTATAGGGTTTAGGGTTTAGG